AGATACAAAGGGACAGTTGTGAACGCCCCAGTTTTGCAGTGGGGATCGTCTAGCCCGGTCAGAGAGAGGCATCTTTTATTTCAGTGTGTCTGTGTCTGGTCTCCACCGGGCCTAAAAGTCTATATTCGTAGGGAACGCCCAAAATACTTAGATGACATAACATATGAAGCATTTACTGAAATTTTGAATTATGCTTTTTCTTCGAAAAGATTGTTTTGGTATAGTTGTAATATCTACTATCATGCAGTGTAATCCCGGGGTATTTCCGTCACGCTAGAATATTGGCTTCCAAGGGTGCGTCGCACAATCGGCTCGCACAAATTACACTCGTCAGGCAATGACTGTCCGTGTAGTGTATCCTTCTCTGATTTTGCGGCTCTTATGAATTAAATCATATTATATTGAAAACATACACAAAAATATCTTTGTTCGTCTCTATTTTTAGAAAATTACGCCCTCTTTAAATTTGTTAATCAAAGTAGCGGTGCCTGTTGATTCAGCCATTTTCTTACCATAACTTTGCAAACCTTGAAAAGATAGTTTACGTAGCATTGCGGCCTATATCTATCGTGAATTTTTATGAACGCTACATAGTACCTTCTTAGCCGCATGAAGGAATACATAATCTTTCTCAAATGGAAACTTTGCAAATTCTAAACGTAAGTACAACCATAAGTCAGATTCAACTTTATCCGGGAATTCTGTTTAAAAAAAGTTCAGTGAAAGACATTCGTGATTTGCGTATAAAAATTGAAGACGTAATAAATGACCACCAGCAGGGGTAGTTTGCGCATTTTCTCGATTTAAAAAAAATAGGCAGATTATGAGATGACTGATGTAGAAGGCCTGGGTTATTTGACCGAATCAGCTTAACGACCCTAGTTGTGCGCCCTGGAACCCAAGCTACACCTGTAAACAATGACTTCCTCCGCCAGTTTCGCAAAATGATTACTTAAGATATTGGACAGTAAACGCAACTTCTTTGGAGTAGGCCTCCAACATCAAAAGGACTTGAAAATTCCATCAAATCATGCGGAAAATTGGCAGTAACAATTCCCAACCGAGTGGTTCAGCTCGTAACGCCAATGATGCTCTTCTGAGTGAAAACTCCGTCAAGACGGAGTGTTAGCGTGGGTGCTTCACGACTTGACCAGTATCCATTCTTCCTCACAGGAAGGCAATTTAACAATTTTGCAACGTTGTGTGACTCTCATAAAGAAGGCTCAACCGCACTTCCGAGACCGTGTAATAGGAGGTTCGGAGAGGGATATACCGACGCTGATATGTTGGCACTGTTTTCATGGGTTTAATTGAATAGTATTTGGCGAGTGGAGTCCTTGCTAATGAACAGGGCTCGGTCATCTGTATGCCCGTCTTCAGGTAAAGGAAGTAAGTCAAATTGCGAGAACTTTCGCAGTCTAATTCTTCTCGACCCTGCCTCCAAGGTTCTCGCCACTTTTTTTCTGAGGTAAATGGCGCTAGGATAAAACTGTAAAAAGTTTGACTTCAAGTCAATGCAATAAGCAAATATTCGCAGGGTTGTGTGTTCTCAAAATACGCCACGGCAACCTATAGCCAGCTGTCTTTGGCACAACGTTCGATTCTGTTCCTGAAGTTCTCGCAAAAGTGACCATCGTAGTAAAAGCTGGACACTGCTCTACTGCAGACTGAGTTCAGGTCCATCACACTGTTTTCCAACCCCTCTGCCGTCGGGTATAATTGATGCCCGGATTTTCGGAGGGGCTTCAATGGGTTCGAACTGGTATGATAACGCAGTTTAAGTTGACAGTGCCTACTCGCTGGCGTCAAGTTCTTTCGACTGATTAAATGTTATCTCTGGTGCACAGTGTCGGTAGAGCACTTGGCCTATTCAAACATCAGTGTATTTCAACTGCCTTTGACGAAACGGCAACCCTCTGGCTTAAGGTGTATCAGTTTGAGAAAGTGCAGTTCAGAGAGCTCCGAATGAAGTTGCTACCAAGCAAACAGAGTAGAGCGTAATTTTTGTCTGAATCGATGCTGCGCCTACGGACCTCGCAAACAGTACGGAAATGATCTACGGACTCCTCGCGATATCTCCATTTTCACAAAGGTTTTTGCGCACCACTCCGTCTGATAATTGCCCTTCTACGTTTGGGAATATTCAGTAGTGCGAATAAAAGAGGAGTGCAAAGTGGAAGCTGACAACCGCTGCCTGGAAGCTAGCCAAAGAGTGAGGCATGCCGTTTTAACTTTATTTATTGCCGAGGACGCATGCTGCATCCCTTGTAATATCAAGAGAATACGCTCGGTCATCAAACAAAGAAACTTATGGTTTATACATGTTTTTAATTATCTTCCGTCTAGTTTAGTAGTGCCCTCTACCTGAAGCCGCTCCCCGAGTGTAGGAGTCGAAGAGATCAAACTCAAAGCTAGCTCGACACCAACCGACAAGACAGACGAGTATTCGGGCTTCGCCATTGGAGATTAGTAAGTCAAGTTCTCTTGGCCCATACGATGAGACACAACCAGTAATATCGATGATGAAAAAGGATGTCCCAGATGCTTTTGAAGTCACACGCAGCCGCCCCTCCGTGCCATCACTAAATTAAGTAGCCTGTATGATCACGTTATAGTAAAAATAGTCCCAGTTCTATCCTAACGTTACCAGATCTAGTAACGCTACGTTTTATTCAGGTTTCCCTTGATGTGTAATCAATGCTTTACGAAGGGCACCTCCAAAGCAAACTTACTGCTTCGAGTGAAAGTTGGAAAAATATTTAAGGGACAGAACTCGTTCTGGAAGTTTTTGCTAAATCTGAAGTATGGAATCAAATAGCCGATGACGGGTTTGATAATGCAATCGGCGAAATCGCAACGGATAATCTATTTTCTAACTGACGTCCTACATAAACGAATTTTTCAAGAGCCCTGACTGTCCTACGACAAGCTTATTTTAAGTGAGTCCGGCCACAGACGAGATCGAAGTTCCTAAATAGCAAGTACAATGGGGTAATGAAGATCTGAATTTAATCCTACCAATCTGTCAGTAAAACCCGACTCCAATGCGGTTCTCAGGGTAAGTTTATTTCTCTTTCCACCATGGAAAAAAAGGCCATGTATTTGGCTATGGAAGATTCACCTCAGACCCAAACGTTTTCTGTTTACCTGGCGCAGCCACGACGTTGGCGGTTCGACGGGTTCGTCTTCCTATTGCCAGCTGTTTCAACTCAGCATAACAGAATTCATGAATTTTATTAAGAATCAAAACACCGATACCGGAAATAACTTTACTCAAAAAGCTGAAGATAAAAGTCAACAAATATTTGGACACTAAATTTACGTATTCACAATCAACCCATGCAGACGAAGACCGACGCAGAAAAAAGGTGCGGATCGGTCGGGTGGATAATGTGGATGACACTTCGCTTATTGCCTGTGTGATTTCGTCTGTTTTGCAGACGACAAAAACGCGGTGAGGCCTGAAGCAATCAGCATTGAAAAGGCGTAATTCCTGTATGGTTAGAGATTAGAGTCAAGGAAAATAACAACAACTGTGTAAATACAAAACAAAAACAGGAAAAGGTTGAAACGAATATAACAATTTACCTTGAATATCGACTGTGTGGACTAGGTTCCAATCTCTTAAATCGATTTAACGTGTCAGTGAATACCAAGGCGGAATTTTAAAGAGTTCGATAGACAGAAAATAATAACTCTGCCCCCCCCTCGCAGGCGTTGACCTAGCGCTGCTAAGAACGTTAGGGTCTTCTGAAAGTCAACAACTGTACGGCGGTCCTTCTGCTTGTTGGTGTGAGGTTCCAACCGCTTGAAAAAAATACTGGCCCGTTTAAGCGATACCAAAGGCTAAAATGAACCTTCCTAAAATCACTTTATTCTTATGCCTGGGCCGTCGCATAGTATCTTTTGTGTTCGACTTCAATATA